GCTGTTGCACTGGCAACGTTTCCGTTTTTCTGTAGCGCTCCCCGGTAATTCGAAGGAAAAATAATAATAGTTAAATCTCTCACCACGTGTAAGCCACACCAGGAGTCGGGTCGCCTCGCTGGTTCCTTTCTTAGCCAGGCTCTACACAACGCTATACCCCGCTTAAAACAAAATAAAGGGAATTTTAAATCATCCCCCCGAAGGCCATTTCAAATAAATTATCTTGCAACGAATCCCGGATTGACGGAGTTCCACCCCGGTTAACAAGACTCGTTACAACTTTCACTTTGATGAAATTCGTTTAGGAGGCCTTTCACATTTTTTTCTCCCTTTTTCAGTTATGAACACGTTCTTGCCATTAGCTGTTTGAAAACCTGTGGGTTTATCGACTTGTGCACTGTTCTTTGCCATTTTTCTACTTTCATAGCCCTTTTTTTGTAAACAGCCTAGAAATTCTCTTACTTGATTTTGTACGAATTCCTGCGGTTCCTCCAATATGGGTTTTTTTTATCACTCGCTGTTTGAAAATCTGCAGGAACAAGCGAACTTCCCAGATTGTTGATCTTGCCCACCTCATCTTAATGCATTTTATTTTTCACTTATTCCAAGATTTCTTGAGTGCTTATGGAAGCAAAAATGTTATTGCCATCTTCATCCCAATGATAATTTTTACTTATCGCAGTTTTACTCTGATTAGATGACACTAAAGCTAAAAAATTTTGGATTAATTTAAATATTGTCTCTTCACATATTTTAAAAACAATTTACTTTCATTACGTTATATGTGTCGTCTTTCTCAATATCGTCGCAACAACGATCTGAAGCTTTTCCTAAGAAGAACGTACAAAGATAGAGTTGTCAAAAAAAAAAAAACGATAAAGAGCAACTTACTTTCTGAGATGGAATTATATGACTTTTTGGAATTCAAATTTACGATGTGTATATTGTCATCAACAGCGGCCTTGAAGTTGTCCTCCAAATTTGATTTCGCCTTTCCTTTAAATTTACGGCTATAGTAACGTTTCGGTTTCTCCCGTAATATAAATAAAGGGGACCGCTCCAAATTTCTCAATTTACTCTCAGGCGAGATTGTAGGACTGTTAAAAGACTTCTCAAATATTATATCTACTATTGCTTTATTGTTGTTATTGTCGCTACGAGCTCAAAGAGAAGCTTACTACCCGCAGTTCCCTAAGTAAAGAGAAAATATCGTTATTCGCCGCCCTCTTCATATCGCGTAAGTTATTCCAAAATTTCTTCGCGTACGGCTTAGGTAAAATCCATGGAAGTCGTAAGACTAATCAACATCAGCGGCGTACACAAAGAATTTTGGAATGGCTGAAGCATAAATCCATTGAATCAGCCTTAGCAAAGATAATCAACCATTTGCCAAAGGCAAGCTAAGATCTGCAAATTAATTAATAAATTTGAATAACTTCAGTTAATTACAGAAGCAACGTGATGCGATAAAGACGCAAGTGGAATCAGCTCTTTGCTTTGTTGCTCATTAGCCTTTTTTAAAAATCATTTCAAAAATCGTCTAAATGATAATTAAATGCAACAGAAAGGAATTGAAAGTGAATCTGCGGAGGAGTGCGAAAAAGAAACTTTAGATGAAGAACAAAAAGCAACGGAAGAAGTAACCTCAGGTGAAGAACAAAGAAACGAAATTGACGACTCGGAAAGTAAAAAAGATGAAGAACACTCTTTAATTGCTGATGACGATTCAGTTAACAGTGATTGAAGTGAGGAGGAAGTGGTAGCTGTTGAAGATAACAACGGAGAGAAAACATTTCCTGACTGCCTTCTTCGGAAATTGCGTCTCGGTCATTTCCCACGTTTCATGGTCGATCTGATGTCCCTTCAAAAATATATCAATAACCCGCAAATTGAGCATTTCCATTTTAATGATTGCAATGAAATTGATCGGAAAATAGTGTGTCTCTGTTCAAATATGGCATTCCATTTTCAAATGCGGAACGGAACAGTAAAGGATTCGGTTGCGAAACGAATACATTGGATTTTCTTTGATTTCGATTTTTCGGAAACAAATATAGCTGATGCTAGATACGTCAATGAATTGTTATATATGTCGTGTCCTTTAACATGATTTAACAGCATAAATATATGCTGTAATATGGGCAAAGCAAAATAATAGCAAATAGAATAAAAGAAAAATATTAGACTAAAAGTCTGTTGATTCATGCGTATTGGTTCATTGCAACGTAATCATAGTAAAAGGGAATAGGAAAAATTATAATGAAAATGCTGGGCTCAACCTGGATTTGAACCCGGGACCTCTCGCACCCAAAGCGAGAATCATACTCCTAGACCATTGAGCCTACACGAATTCGCTCGCTCACCGTGCTTTTTCTATATTTAGTTATTCTTTTCCTTTATATAAAATACATCCAAAATTTACGTCAGTTAAAGTCAAAATAACAAAAAGGAAACATAATTTTTACTTATTTTTCCCCAATAATAATTCTCAATACTTCGTGACGAAGATAGGTAAAGAACTGAGTTTGACAAAGCGGTATATAACAGTCAACCATAATTTTGAACAGTATATAGGAAGCGAAGAGAAACGGAAAGATTATTTTTATTATTCTTTGATTAGACTTGATACGCCCTCTCTCTCTCTCTCTCTCTCTCCCTTACACACATTTACTATAAACATATAAACATGCAAACATATTTCGTCATCAAAAAGAAGACAAAACTAGAAAGAAATTCTAACAGGACGTATTAGACCACTAGAACCTAGAAACAGTGATTTTAAGAAAAGCTCTCGCCGCTTACTAAATGCCGCCTTCTTTAAATATAAAGATAGATTAAGAGGTAGGCTGCAGAAATCCTTAGACAATATAAAATAATAAAATTCTTATACGCTTTCGTCACCTTTCCGATAACAGCTTGCATATAAATACAAAATTAAACGAAATCAAAATTACAGATAATATTATCAGGTCCATTAGTAAATATGAAGAGATCGGATTAGAATTCGCAAAACAGTTTAAAAATTGCCCAATCCACCCAAAGGGCACTCTTAGAATGCTACATAAAGTGAGAACAGCTCTGCATTCCGTATGTTTTTACAAATTACTCATAATCTATATTAGGCACCACCAAAGCAGAAGTTAGACACCTAATAATATAGAGTATAGAAATTTTATTTCTTTTTAGTCTTTTTTAATATAACGTTGACATTTAAAAAAGAATCAGTCATAAAAAAAATAAATTAAATGGCAAGCGGTGGTACAAAACTCTGTCAAATAAAAAAAAGGGGTGGAAAAAAATTGTAGTAGCTGGGTATACAATTCTGCAACAGCTGTTTTACTTTGTAAGATTTACTTTAATATGAAAATTGACAACACATAAAATCATGCAAAGGCCAGAAGACGATCTTGCGCAACGGGTGAGGAAAAAATTGAAGACTTGTTATCTACGTCGCACATTTTTATAGGATTTATATATCCTTACCTTAACGACGAATACTAAAAAAGAGCTGTGTATCGAGATATGACAATGCACGCTTATTCATACAAACATGCTACGTATACATGTACGCATACGTAGAACCATATATACACAGTTTTGAAATCCACCCCAGGGTTATAATACGTTACATGAAAGTTATTTATCGATGCTATACTATAAGTAATTAAACGCTATCATTTGCTTGGAATTTGTGTTCGTAAGAGCAGTGCACACCACAGTCACTAATGCAAATCTACGTACATCTAGTTGTAGTTCGTAGATATGAGAACTTTAAACGCGGACTCACTTTTATGCTTTCGTAACTTTGCAATATGTCGGATATAAATCTTATCCATTTCAGTATCTTTTCAAAACCCTAAAGTTGTCTCATCTGTTTTTAGTAGTCTTGCACTCTTCCAAGGTAATGCTAAGATCACATAAATTGTATTCCAATAAATTGTAATAGAATTTCACTTCAAAATTCAATATAAAGAACTGTTTATCTAAGAAATTGAATCTGAGTAAATCATGTAAAATGTTTTGTGAGGGCAAAAAACCCTTAAAGCATTAACTCATATTCTTATATTGTCATTTATAACTGTTTAAGACTGTTTAAGACTGTCTAATAACATTTTATAGACTTTCGATCCGGAATTTCGCTGTGTATCAAAGATAATATACAGCTTATATTTTAGCTAAGAGTTTTTAGTTTAAAAAGTTACGACAGTAGCGTTTGGCAGGTAATCAAAGACAGTCAAAGGCAATTTTTTTATTAACTTGCACGATCGCATTTTAAAAGCGATTGTGAAAAGAAAAGCTCAAGTCGATTTACATTTAGGAATTATGTTTGAAAGAGTACTTATACTTTAGAAATTTGTAATGTTATCTAAATTGTTATTCCCACCACTTGTATGTAATTTTGCCCGGAAATATACAAGACCCGGAAGGAATTTAGATAAGGCCACGTTTAATAAGAGTATACATGTATATATTTTACAATATATACACACAATGATACCATTGTAATAATGTCGATCGATTCAGTCACTTTCTACGTCGATCTAGCTTTATTTGTCGGTTTATCCATCAGTCCGGCTTGCCTTCTTCTTTTGAATCTACACACCGCAACTTTCGAAATATTTTAATGAAATTTTGTATACAAACATGTTTTGGGTCAAGAGCGAACAGTATTGAAATTGAAAATTCCTTGCATCAAACTACTATTTCGATCACTTCGTGTGTAAGGTCTTATTTTGAAAAACCAGGTAGGGCGCTTAATGTGCGCCTACAGTGTTTTTACTTGCTTAATAATAAAATTAGCCAAAGTTGGAACTGATTGCTCTTGAACCGCCCGTTATATTACACAGAAAATGCCTTGGCAAAGACGACTTTTTATCTAAATCGTAATAAACTTACCTTGAGCTTTGGATAATTTTTCGACGGCGAGAACCTTTTTTTCATTTTTTTTTGTTAGAGTTTTCAAATATTTTCGATTCCAAATCTTTTTCTTATCATTCTTAAGAATTACACTTTAAGATTTTTTCTTGCAATGGCAATAATATTGACAAAAGCTAACATACTTAACGTATATCTACATTAAATGTTGCCACGCATGCTTCGACAATAAGTTTGTGTACGTCATTTACTTCTTTTTGTGTAAGAGTCCGTTCCATATGACGGTAGATGATGCGAAAACAAACGCTTGTACGATTTTTTTTTGGATGATTAAACTGGTCAACTAAACTGATCTGAAAGATACATATAACAATAATTATGAAAGGCAAGAATTATGAAAATTCTTAACTTACCTGTTCTACCACATCGCCCGCAACATTTCGCACTATATCATAAAAATCATTTGGTGCAAAACCCTCGTTAACCTGAACACCAGGTGGCAACCAAAATGACAGATCGTTTATGCATTGAGGATATTGAGATACCGCTTTATATTTCTTTAAATTGTATAAATCACTTTCATTAAACTGCGTTAGAAACCCCGTATCTGTGGACCAAAATAAGCGAATGTCGGGAATATCGAAGAATATCATGGCCAAACGCTCTAAACCCAAACCAAAAGCATAACCTATTGACATGAATGGAAAAAGTTGAAGTTCTATTAACATGGCAAAAAGCTACTTGAAGTTCTATTAAAATGAACAAAAAACTGATTGGAGGCCAACCGTATACACAGGTACAAAATCAGTTTACCTATTGAATTATGTGCTCCCGATTGTTGCAAAATTTCATGCCTCATAATACCACAACCTAAAACTTCAAGCCATTGCCCTTTATAGAAAATTTCCAATTCCCAAGAGGGTTGTGTAAACGGAAAATAAGTGTCCACCCAACGGTGTTTAATATTCGCACCAAATAAATCTTTTGCCAAACCAGCCAGCACCCCTTTTAACTCATGTTCGATCAATTTAATTGCCTCTAAAGTATGGCAGGATTGTTTCGTTTGATCCATACATTTGGATAAACTTAAAATTTGATTTTGATTAGTATTGTACAAATTTGGCGACCAGTCTCTTTCGAAGATTTCTAGTCCTGGATTACGTTCGAAAAGTTTATCTTTAGTTACCAAACGTACTGCATCTAATTGATGAAAGACTGGATAATGAGTACTATCAATTTCATCTCGTCTGTACACTTCACCTACCACCAAAAAGTTATCCAATCCACTCGATATTAAATCTACTTGATGTGCGGTGGTGTGGGCTCTTAGAAGATAACGTTGATTCACATAATAACAATCTGCTTTGCTGCGACTTACATGATCGACCGGTATCAACAAATTATCAAAGTTTTGTTGTATAGTAACTACTGGATTAAGCTTGTCATATACCGAGAATAACGGATTACCCCGAGAAGTTTTGTATGCTTTGTAAAAATAATTTACTATACGTTTCTTGATGATGGATAAAGGATGATTTTTTTGTAGGTGTTTATTTAAACCCAAATATGATAAAATCTTCGGTGTTACATTAGTCCAGCTATCAACGCTATAAGCGAAACCGTTAATGTCCAAATAGGTTTTAGCTGCAGCAGCATTCGCAAAAAATCTCTTGTTAGAATAATTATATATTAAAGATTTTTTCCGCAGTTTATAAAAATTTACTTTTTCTAAACGTCGCAGTGTAACTTGCATTAATGGTTTTAAAATTGTCAGCATTTTGTTTGTAATTTAAATTACCATTTATTTCGATTAGTTTTAATTGATTGAACCGCTTTTTCTAGTTCCTTAAATAAGAATAAACAGCTGATTTTAGGTAGAGCTGCCTAACACTTTTTTTAAAACACAGTATTAGGCGAACATTACAAAAACGTTTTCATAGTTTCTTTAACGCTTGATTTTATTGATGGAAAAGCATATAGAAATTAATTCGTATCTTAATTGATTGATCTGTTGTCAGAACGTGCTTATTTAATATTGCTGTTTCATCTGTTGGTGTCAGATAGTACCAAAATTACAATACCTTATTTTTATAACGCGACAAATCATCTGTAATTGGCTCTCTCAATATTTAAGAAGACACAACCAATTTCAGCACTTAAGTAAGCTAATTAAAACTTAATCAATTAAATATATTTATTAAAATTCAAGCAAAGATCTTCTTGTTCATATTGAACATATTTGACATCACACAACGAATCTCCAGTTCTTGGTTTGCTCATTTGCAGAGAAAGACGAATATTTTGAATTGCATATGGTTGCACAATTTATCTATACTTTCCGGTACAAAATAACTTTATTTTGGGCTGATTAAGGTATGGTGTTGTGAAATTTTTTTGAAATAAAAAATTGTACGTGTAAAAAACGCGAGGCATTGAAGAAAGCACGTACAAATCGTTATTAATATGTTTAAGTGAATATTGCGAAGATAGCCCTTAACTTAACTAAGTTTAAAAAAAATTTTATTGATTGTGTACTGCAATACTCTGCTAGATGAAGTAATTAAGAAACAAATCGAATTTTTTCCAGATTTCTAACTACCACATTATAAACATCCAACACATGGAAAATTTAAATTAATTCCAATCAAAACAGAGAGAGGTAAAGTTACAACAAAATACTGTTAAAATGTTCATTACTATTGTTACTTACGGTAACGCCGCCGCCAGTGAGTCAGTTGTCAGCCAATTACCGGTCAAAAAAGTGTAAAAAGAAGGATTTCTTTTACAACTAAAAAAAAATTTAAATAGATTCAAAGAAATATAAGAAAGTGTGATTTTTTCGCATAAATCTATAAATAATCCAAGCTGTACGCGGTAAGCTTGCCAATAAACTATTGATACAAATCACGTATTGTTTTAAGTAATGAATTTTATTTGTTTCTCAATTAGCTGTGGTCCATTGGATGTTTTTTAAAGCATCTGTAGCGATATGACCGAAAAGGTAACGAAATTGGCTTTAGCTAGCCGCGTAATGGTTCTACTGCTTCAATGGCTGGCCAATGTAATGATAACGGATCATAGAACTCAAGTCTTTCGTACGCCTTACGATAAAACTCATAAAAACACTTGGCTAGATAAAACGGTAAATGTTTTGTTCGACGGTCTACGGCATTGGGATGGTGAATATTTTCTGCATATAGCTGAATATGGCTACAGTTATGAGAACACTTTGGCGTTTTATCCTTTATATCCTCTCACGGTCGGTTATTCAGGCCGTGTTTTGCATTACTTAGCTAAAGATTGTTTGACTTTACGCAGTTGTTGTCTCTTAATGGCTGTTATTTTAAACGTAATTATATTCTGTAAAGCGGCGAGCTTGATGTATCAAGTGACACAACTTATTTTTAACGATGCTACGAAAAGTTGGAATGCCACTCTATTATTCTGCTTTAATCCAGCCTCCATATTTTTTACGGCAGCCTATTCCGAAACTTTGTTTGCGCTAATGACTTTATATGTGATGTTGGAAAGTATCACAGAATTACGTTTTATACCCTGTTCAGTGCCGTTAGGTTTAAATATTATAACTCGTTCGAATGGTTTGGTTAATGTGGGATTCCCTTTATATTTTTTGATACGAAGAAGTGTGTTACGTGCCAACCAGAGTTTTTTCTCCATCATTAAATTAATATGTATCTTGTTGCTATCTTTAATACCTGCGACAATCTTCAATTTTTATCAATTTCATCAGTTTTGCAATTCTCACAAGTCGATAAAGCATAGTGTGCAAGTTGTAGATTATGCCAGGGAGAAAAATTATATATTGGCGGGTCAACGTCTTTTTAATCAATCGGCATGGTGTGAAGCTACTCTTCCGTTCCCTTACCCTTACGTACAATCGCATTATTGGAACGTGGGTTTCCTTAAATACTATCAACTCAAACAATTGCCTAATTTCGTGATAGCTTTACCCGTGCTTGGATTTCTACTATGGCACCTTTTCTTGTATTTAAAACATTTCGTTTGTAATCTTTTGCCACGTTATCCCCTACAGCAATTACTTAAAGAATATAAAACTCTACCTTTTATCTTACACGCGTTAATACTTTGTCTGATATGCGTTGTCTTTGTCCACATACAAATTGCGACACGTTTACTCTGTTCTGCATCACCATGTCTGTATTGGTTTGCAGCTGACTATTTACCAAAAAGTTTCGATAAATTGCGCTTACATTCTAGAGGGGGTTTGGTTGTTATATGGTTTGCTACTTATTCCATAGTTGGTTGTTTGCTTTTTAGTAATAACTTTCCCTGGACTTGAATACATTGTTATGCTAAGTTATTTAAATCTTTAATTAAACGCATTAAGGCAACTTATGCTTTCCTTTTTTTTTTTTAACTTGTTAAAAGCCGACCTATTGAGGTCGCACAAGACTGTTTTAATGAACTTTTTTCAATGAATCCTCGTACATCCTCAAACATAATATTTTTTTACTAGATATATTTAGTTAATTTAAATATATGTTTTTTTTTTTTTTTTGTAAGAAAAAGAAGAAGAAAATGTTTCTTTTTATTGCACACATATGTAGAATAGTCGATATTTAATAAATGACTATTATTAGTAAATGACTATATTTAATAAATGACTATTTTAAAAAATTAAATAAAAGTAATTTATATTAGAAGATCTCTATTAAAGTAAAGCATTGCAATCGAAAAAGAAAAAAATATGCGAAGCACGTAATTGGCTAAGTCAAATCTGCAATGCTCTTCATTGGTAAAAATAAAACCTTTTTAATATTCCCATCTGATTGTAACTTTTGGATGGGTTTGTAATAAGCCCTTTTTTTACGTATAATAATTCTATACTTGGTAGGGATAAAAAAGTTCGTTCCAAAGTACATATAATTTATTTCTTTTAATAATTGTTAAAGCCCTTATTTGTAAAGTTATAGAAAAATCCAAATAAGTGTAAGGTATAGTTGCCAATCGCAGAGGACCGAGAAACTAACATTTTTCTGGTTTAACTTTTCTTTGCCCTTTAAATAAAGAAAGAATCAATAAAGTATTTTGATGCCATAAGATCATAAAGACACGTATAAGACCTCTAAATAAAGAATTACATAACTGGGGTTCAATTCATCAAGCGGCTAATCGAAAATTAGCAAAATACATGCTATGACGAAAAGCGTATTTTTTTATGAAAGAGCGATTTCTTCTTGCGCTACTTAGGGTACAGAAACTCTAATATTATTAATACAGAAACAGTTCTTTACCAACACTAGCAACATTCACATTTGCATAACGTCGGAGTGCGATAAGAACCCATGTGTCTGACATATTTCTCAGGGGTCAGTCCTAGGTACGCGGCTGAATCCAAGTACCTGGGTATTACCATGAATGATCGGGGCAAGTTTATTCCTCAACTTGATAAGGTTAAGAAATAAACTTATGAATGTGGTAGGGCAGATTCGTCGTGTCCTACGGTGCGAATGGGGCCTTACGTGCCTTTCGGGTAATATACGGCGGATTTTTGTTGTTTGTGCAACATATGGAACTCCCGTGTAGTGTCTGGATATTACGTCTGTTTTAGGGTGAAATAATATCTTGAGCTGCCAACGCATAATGTTGTTGGCGTGTGTGCCCGTTTGTAAAATGGTCTCCACCGACGTTCTACAAGGTGATGGGTCCACCCTCTCTGCACCTTGAGGTTTTAGTTTTGGTTGAGGTTTGAGGTTTTACGTCTCACTAATACCTATAAGATAAAGAGAGGCCTGCGCTTACTTTGCGGGTTAAACACTCAGCATGTACAGAGATTAAGTTCTCGGGAGCGAGGATGGCTTTTAAAGGAATGTGTCCGTGCCTTATGGCAATCACGTTTGGATAAAAGTGAGAACGATGCGATTATTCATGATGTTTCCTTTGTAGAAAATCACGTGGGCTTTAGTTTTAGCCTACATCTCGGGTTTCTACTCACGGGCCACGGAACTCTGAATGCTTTTTTGCATGAAAGAGTCCGTTCTGAAACTAGGGCTTGCCTGTTTGTCAGTCTGTCCGAAAACTATGAACACGTGTTGTTGGTGTGCCCTACTCTGCCTCAGTCTACTTATCGAATGGTCAGACCGTTAGCCTTGGGCTATTCTGTACCCTTCTGTACCCTATCCTGCCCTACCTATGGTATCCTTCGACCTTTGATTTGCAATGGGAAGCCACGAGTTTAAGTGACCTCTTTTGTGTACCTTCCTATCATACAAAAAAAATCTTTAACACAATTTTCTCTTAGTTTATATCACTTTAAATAACAAAAGTAACACTTCGTCAAAGTGTGCCTATTCTGATTCGAACTGTATATATATATAGGTATATAATGGTAAAAAATTCCAGATTCAATTGTCATGAGATTATTAACGAATCTTGTTAGTGGTGGAATTCACAAAAAAATTATAGAGAAGTCAATTACGTTACTTCGTCTACCATTTGGATTCCGGCAGTCGGGGGAAAAGTGAAATGGAAACCCAAAAATTCACGATTTCTAGCAGAAAATGAAGTATTCCCGCCTATTGATAAATGCCTATGAATAAAATAATATAGGCAATAGATTCGACTCTTTCAGAGGAGCATACAAAAACAAAATATTAAATAAAATGTACCAAATATTTTAAATGTTACACACTTCGTCTGCAAAATGAAGATTAAAGGCCATGCTTTTCTCTTTCGTACTGAAAATCTAGGTTGTTAGTCTATCCCTACAAAGTCACCTTCGACCAACCTGTTGATCGAACAACCGCAATTTTGCACGTCGGGTAGTAACCCTTTTATATCAATAGTGCATATATTTAACTTTTTGGGTAAATGTTCGTGTATTATCCCTTTAGCTCTTTACTGGACTGCCGCTGACTTTAAGGGCCTTTTACAACTCCTTAAATGTTTTCAAGAAAAAATTGGGCTAACTTCTCAATGAGAGTTATAATGGTTAATGATAGACCAAGACGATCATTTGCTGGTTTCGTTCTTTAATTCTTCCTATGCATACGGATTATAATGTAATTATTGGCATACGGTTGCATAGTTGCTAATAAATATAAATAAAAAATGCAAAGGCGGCTTTTTCTTTGTTCAAATGTAGCGCCCAAGACATAGAAATTGTTATTTGTCTCATTGTCTCAAAAAAAAAGATACTCGTTTCTCGTCCAACGGAGGAAACTGTCTAAGTTAAACTGTTGCTTATTGAAAAATGTTTTAGCTGATATGCGCAATCGTTCCTTAATAATATAACATTTAAAAATGTTGAATATAGTTACCTTCAACATATGGCAACCATCTCAAGCGTTACACCTTTGTCAAGAAGAAGAAGTAGAACAGAATTACTCATAGTTCATAGTTATCTGGTTAACATCTAGAGTTTTCCGTCGGAATGCATGGATTTGCATGGTCAGCTGATGTATCGATTTTGTTTTTCCTGGTTACGTGCAATTTTAAAATAGCCGCCGTCACCCCAACTTACGCTATAAGCATTTCTAACCAGTCAATAATCTCGCCCCTTAAAACGGGTGTCATTATCCACCACTACAACACCATTATCTAAATTTTTGCTATCGCATTTATGCTCATTATAAGCACACTCGGAAAAGAATTGGAATGGTTGTTGAGAACAATGGTTGCCGCAATAGAGCCACGGCTTCCTTCCGTCATCGATGTCGGATATAACATCTTTGACATCTGAAAGAGCACCTTTCGCAATCCGGTCTGCGGATTTGTGCATAGTCACATTTGCTTGAGATATATAGGTCATACCAACTTCATAACAATCTTCCTCGCTGTAAAATGAAAAATTTCTGAATTATTTCCTTATTGTATACCCATTAGAAAAAGCCTTATCGCCTTATCACACTCAATGTATTATTAAATCCATTCATAAGTTTACAGAATTCATTATAGTAAATCTGCATATTTATTTAAGTCTAATTTGTAGGTCATATTGCGGTCTGCACATAGTTGAACGAGCGAATACAGACCTCATTGAAATTGTCGTGATTGTATTTTCACACTTAGACTTATGAAATAAAACTAATTATAAAACATTATGATCGGAAAAGACCTACCGTTAAATGCCTTATCTCATTCCTCTTAACATAATTCTTTGTTAATTTGCTTAACAAAATTCTGAAAATATTGTCTTTTTCTGCATTTAAACTCACTTTCCATGGGAGCTTGCCAAAACTTGAACCTGGTGAACTAACTTTGTCTAAATTTAGAAAATTATAATTTCTTGAAAAAAATGTTATTCTTCTTCACAATGTAGAACTTAACTTGTGGAAAGAATCACAATGTAGAACTTAATTTGTGGAAAGCATCACAATGTAGAATTATTAATTTGCGAAATAAAATTCAAAAAAAATTTAACTTTTTTCCATGCAAAGGCATATTTTTCATGAAAGCACATATTTGAGGACTCCCAATACATCACATGGCGTGATCTAAATTTAGCAAACTTAATATACTTCCTAAAAATTTTATTATTTCTCAGGGTCCATCCAAGAAAACTAGAAATTATACTTTCCCTCCATATAAGGACTTGCTTTTAATGACAACCGTTATTAGGGTCTAAAAACTAGGCGTGCATTATTCAAATTCCCTACTGTTAATTTTGCTTATATGGATTGTGATTCTGAAAATAGACCCATGTGGTTAAAATTTGGTTCATTTCATGTCTATTACGGATAACTTTTTATCACAAAATTAGATCTTTTAGGCGTTTAAGGATTTACATTTACTGAGAATAAAAAACTACTTGACTTAAATTCGATAACGATAACTTCTTTGTCAATTTACTATGGTAAAAAATTGCGACAGCTGAACGAAATTCTCCATATCAATTTAGAAATTCGACGTGCTATTACTTAGCGAGTTTTGTGGAAGAATTTTAAACATTGCATTTTTCCTCCACATAAATTTTCAAAATAAGGCTTTGTATAGGGAACGGTTGACAAGTGATCTGATCCATCTTCAATAGCTGTCGTGTTGTCAAATGTCATCAAAATATTTCAAAAATTTCGGCCTATAGGTTGAACACTAAAATATATAGACAGTCATCACACTGACCGATACCAGACAAGCTTAGATCGGTATAATAAAAGGTGGGTTTATCTTAAGCTTCTCCGGATGGTACGTACGTTCATCTATAATGCTTGCTTACGCGATTGGTATTCGATTTATTTGTCCAATTAGAATACTTTATTCACCATGCTGTTATACCAAAAAGTCCAATCTTTCTAAAACTCTTAACCTAAAGCCCAGTAAACAGAGTCTATGTACGCTGCAGTCATTGTCCTTAAACCAATCTTTATATACACTCTCAACATTTCTCAATATCTATTTCGTCCCCTTATACACAAGGAACTTGTGCCAGCGCTTCTTGTAATCCTCGAAGCACTTCTGATACGCCATCCTTGGCTTAGAGCTTTTCCACTTCTTTGCCTTCTTTATTTTCTTGACGATGGCAAAACTTCGTCCTTTCATGGGAAAAGTAAATATGCGCACACATGGTTCTTCAGTGGTAGGGCTAAAAAACACAAAAGACGACTGGGCGTATACAAAAAGCTTTACGTAAACGTT